GGGGGGAAGGGGAGAGGAGGAGAAGTGGCCGCGGCTGCGCATCCCCGCCCTGCCCGGCACGAGCAGGTGTCCCCAGAGGCGGGGGCGAGTGTGCGAGCCCGGGGGAGGGTGGAGGGAGGGGAGTGGCCAAGGAAAGGGGTGTGCGCACGGGTAGAATAGGTGTGTGAATGGGTGTGTGTGTGTTGGGGGGGTGAGCGGGTGAGGATGGAAGGTGAATGGTCAAAGACGCAGGTGCACCAGGGAGGGAGAGGCTTGTGCAGAATGGGAGTGTGCAAAGAAAGCAAGCTACGCAACTGTCAGAGGTGAGTGAGCAAGAGATGGACTCAAGCAATAAACACTTTTACACAAAAGACTGAAAAGTGTGCACGGTGTGTGACTATGGAAAAAAGATGAGTGTGTAAGGGATCGAATTGGATTGTAAGAGAAACAGAAGTGTGTAATTGTAATGTGTGAGGGAGGTGAGTGAGCAAGGGAGACTGGAGTGCTAAAGGGATGAATGTCTTTCCTGGTATTCTCCTAACCCACCACCACTGCAACTGAAGTGAACAATACGTAACACACACATGCTTAGCTCTATGCTTTTATGGGGGGTCTTGACCCTGAGAACCAGTTGTACCCCCTCATCACATTATTTCTGCCTTACACTTACATCCTCCCTCTCCTCTCCTTTTCAGTGCTTAGAGAAAAGGAATTCAAACACAATGGAAAAAACTAATTAGTAAAAGAGTAATTAACTGGAAAAGGGAGGGTATGTAATCAGGGACAGACTGTCAAACTAAGGATCCTCAATAGAAAGTGATTAAGGAGAGTAATGCTCTTATGAAGCATTCAAATATTTTGGATGGTGGATGAATGAATCAGAAAAAGGGGCTGGAACCCAAGTCAACATAGAGGATGACTTATATTTTAAAAACAGTGAGTGGAGGGTGAAGCTAAAGTGGACCCTGTTGGTGTAGGATGGAAGAGACACAGCCTTCCAGAAGGTTTACAAACCAACCAATCCTAGCAAAATAGCCAATGAAACATACTCCTCACAAGCCCCTTAGCCAGTTAGGACCTTGAGATTTTTCTTATTCGTGTCCTAGTTGCCTTTGCCAGCAAGGGCCCAGAACTACAACCAGCAGAATGCAAACAGGGGGAATCTATACTGACATGTCTTCCATTTTGCCCTGGAGCATGGTTTATATTAATCTCAAGCCTAAACTCTTACATCCTCAGGCAGATGGTTAAGGAGAATAGAAGTTAGGGCACAAGGAGAGCAAATAGAGTAATAGAATGGTTTCAGATTTTAGACAGTTTATCATAAATGAGACACTGATTCCTTCCTTCCCTTATTCCCATTCCCCCAAAGGGTTGGGAGATAAAGAAGTTGGAGCCAGTAAGACAAGGGAAGTCAGAGAAACTTGCCTGTTGTCTACCTAGATGTCTGTGAACAGAGGCTATTTGGGAAAAGTCTGTTCTGAGGAGGGGCAAGGGCTAAGAAAGCTTGTAATAGGGGAAAAAAGGGAAACACAATGACCCCATATAAGGAGTCACAAGGTTTTGCAGAAGGGCACAGTCATTTTCATGCAGCGTGGTGGTAACTTCCTTGCACATGCTCACTCCTGTATCTATCCATCTATATGTGCAGTATATAGTATCATACACATATATATATACACATACACACATATGTCATAGCATCTTACTGCAGAAAAGAACCTTAAAGGTTAAGTATTCCTGTTTCCAGCTCATCAATAACTTCTCTGCCAGAAGGTATCTGGTCGCTGCCTTAACACTCCCAGGAAGAGGTGAAAGTTGGGAAGAGGGAAGGGTATTACCTTGCCACTCTTCCTGTTGGATTACTGTATTAATCTTCCTTCCATCAATCCTTTAATCCTAGTTTCGCCCTCATATGGGTACTGTCTACTCCCTATTTTATATGACCACATATAAAATATGTGGCTATATCTTTACAGATAGCCTTATCACTAGTTTAAAGGACACAAACAAAACCCCCACATAAATACAGGAAGCAGCACTCAGTAAAAATTTGTTGAATTCGTGAAACAAAGACACAAATGAGAATATGTTTTTCTGATAGCGGTGGAGCAGAAAGACGACAGCACCACCTCCCGTCCCCCGACCCACCTCCCCACAAGGAGAGAGAGTGAGAGACGGGTAGTGAGACTGGAGATGCACTCAGGCTCGGCTTCCAGCCCAGTGTTGGGAATCCTGGGTGGCCCAGGTTGCCATGGCATCGCGTTGGACTCCACCCTCTCTCTTCTCCCGCCGCACCCCCGATCCAGAGTTACGGCAACCAGTCACGTGCCCTGCTGCGTAACCACACCTCTGCTTCTCCAAGCAATGTCAAGCGGTCACGTGTGATAGCAACAGATCACGTGGTTGCCATCGCCCCTCCGCCCCTTTCCCCTCCCCGCCCCCTTCCCGTTCAAAGCCGCTCCCGGCTGCCCCTCTGCGCCTGAGTAGTATGGTCACGTGCTCCGAACGTCCGGCGCTCTCCCCGCCCCCTCGATTTCCGCGCGCCTCTTTGGCAGCTGGTCACATGGTGAGGGTGGGGGTAAAGGGGGCCGCTCTAGCCTGTGGCCTGTGTCTATGGTCGGGCCCGTAGGGTCCAGCTGCCCCGAACCGAGCTCGAGTGTATGGCGCGGCAGGAACCGGCTCCGGGGCCCCGATAACGGGCCGCCCCCGCAGCTCCAGACACGGGGTGAGGTAAGTGTAGCCCTTTCCAGGAATGGAGACCATACTCGCCCTCCACGGCTTTCTACGCGGGTTGGTTATGGAAGGGTCGCTCGAGGGCGGGAAGTGGGGCAGGGTGTGATATGTTCCTTTGTGGCCGTAGGAAGGTGCAATTTCAGGGACTGGGTGTACGGTCTTCGATGTAGGGAGTGTGTCGTGTGGCATTTCCCTTGTGCGGGGTTCGATCGCCCCAAAGGAAAATGGCATTTTTTTATTCTAGGAGCTCACGCGGCTGGAGGGGTTGGGGTTAGGGTCATTGTGTTACCTGGGAGTCGGCATCATGGAAGTTTGGGAAAGGGACGGGATGCTGTTGGTGTTGTCTTTGTGTTGTCTTTTGTGGGAGTCACTTTGTTGCTGCAGGCTCATACCATCCGAACTGTGGAAGGAATTTCGGTGGTAGGAGTCTCTGTGATTGTAGGGTCTCCTCTGGTCTGAGAATGGCTACCCCTCGATATGAGCCAGTGGCTGAGATTGGTGTTGGTGCCTATGGGACGGTGTATAAGGCCCGTGATCCCCACAGTGGCCACTTTGTGGCCCTCAAGAGCGTAAGAGTCCCCAATGGAGGAGGTGCTGGAGGGGGCCTGCCCATCAGCACAGTCCGTGAGGTGGCTTTACTGCGGCGGCTGGAGGCTTTTGAGCATCCCAATGTTGTGCGGTGAGAAGATGGAGGGTTGGGAGTGGGTAGTAAAAGGGAAAAGACAACCTAACCTTTAGGTGTGGAGTGGTGGTCAGGAGAGAAGTGGGGACCCTGAGGGAATAGAGGAGGCCATGTTGGGTCAAAGATGATTGCACAGTGAGTTACCATTTGCTCCGGACAGGCTGATGGACGTCTGTGCCACAGCCCGAACTGACCGGGAGACCAAAGTGACCCTGGTGTTTGAGCATGTGGACCAAGACCTAAGGACATATCTGGACAAGGCACCCCCACCAGGCTTGCCAGTGGAGACCATCAAGGTGAGTAAGGTGGGCAGACACTGAGAGGTAGATTGGGACCTTTGTAGTAGCATCTGTTGTGATTTCAGGTATGGTGCCTAGTTCAGTTTCTCTGTACCTCCCCCTTCCAAACCAGGATCTGATGCGCCAGTTTCTAAGAGGCCTAGATTTCCTTCATGCCAACTGCATCGTTCATCGAGACTTGAAGCCAGAGAACATTCTGGTGACAAGTGGTGGGACAGTCAAGCTGGCCGACTTTGGCCTGGCCAGAATCTATAGCTACCAGATGGCACTTACACCTGTGGTCAGTAGAATGATGGTAGCCAAAATGGGTTCTGGCTGGGGGAGGAGGGCGATTGCCCATAGCAGTTGAGAAGGCATGTGTTTTTCACATCCTTGATTTTAGTGAAGAGTTGTGCTTCAGGGTAATTCGTAGGGCCCTCATCCACTCTTCTTACTCCCGTTAGGTTGTTACACTCTGGTACCGCGCTCCAGAAGTTCTTTTGCAGTCTACATATGCAACACCTGTGGACATGTGGAGTGTTGGCTGTATCTTTGCAGAGATGTTTCGTCGAAAGTATGGGGCCCAAGTATCCTGAACATCTTGAATTTCCCAAATCTCATATTCGTAAACCACATCCATACCCTGCCTCTTCCACTTGAATTCTACTGGCCACCTTGTCCGTAACCAGCAGTTCTGAAATGTCGTGGAATTAGGAATTTCGTAACCCTTTATTCTTCTTACCCTATGTTTTGAGCCACTAAGCAGTAGTCGTTCTACTACCATATCTTTGAAAATGAGTGCTAGCTAAATGAATGTCTCTTTTCACCTTAGGCCTCTCTTCTGTGGAAACTCTGAAGCTGACCAGTTAGGCAAAATCTTTGAGTAAGTGACCTGCAGAGGGGAAGAGTTTTCCATTCTGAGTCCTTCTCTTTCTGCTGAGCCCTGAATGGCAACTGGCTCTGCCCCTGGAGTTGGGGGCTGGAGAAGGGCCCTCCTGACCAGAATTCTCCTGTTCCCCATAGCCTGATCGGACTGCCCCCAGAGGATGACTGGCCCCGAGATGTGTCTTTACCCCGAGGAGCCTTTTCCCCCAGAGGGCCGCGCCCCGTGCAGTCGGTGGTACCTGAGATGGAAGAGTCTGGAGCACAGCTGCTGCTGGTACTGGGCTTGGGCGTGGGCATGGGGTGAGATTGGGGTGGAAAATGGAGCAGGATAAAAGGGACCCGAACACATGGTGGTTACTGAGACTTGTTGGTGGATGGGCTAGTTTTTATTGCTGCTTTGAATAGCTGTCCACAAAGATGGATATAGAAAATAGCTCATCCCAGGTATTGTTGGGGGTGAGCAGAAGTCTTTTTTCGTGGTTTTCTGACCTTTGCCTCCCTTCTCAGGAGATGCTGACTTTTAACCCCCACAAGCGAATCTCTGCCTTCCGAGCCCTGCAGCACTCTTATCTACATAAGGCAGAAGGGAACCCAGAGTGAGCCACGGAATGGCTGCAACAGAACCAAGAGAAGAGAAGCCAACATTTCCCTTCCTTTGAACATTTGAGAGGAGAGCCCCCCACTAAGAAGGTGATCCTCTGCCTTCATCTCTGAGGCTATGGAGACGACTCCAACTTTTTATAGAGAATATTTTGTTGCCTTAATGACATTCCCCTCCCACCCCTCCTTTTGAGGCTTATCCTCCTCTTGCCCCCTCTGTGTCCTTACACCAAGGGGTATGTCCCTTGTTCTTCCCCTTCCCTATACCTTGATATTGGGATCCTTTTTTATACAGGAAAAACAACAAAACAAAGAAATCTGGTCTTTTTTTTTTTTTTTTTTAATGTTTCTTTCTCTGGTTGGCTTTGCTGTTTGGGGATTTGAGAAAAACATTTGGAAGATGGAACTTCCCTGCACGTTCTCCTTAGGTCACAGGGCCTACATAGTCAGTGGAGCCCCTCAACCAACTAAAGAGAAGAAAAGGCACTTACGTTGCTTCTTTGATTATGGAGTTTAAATGGTTTTTATTTTTATATTCACTGAACTTCCCCAAACCGAGTCCTGCTTATTACAAGAGTGCTTGGTTTTCTCTCTGGATCTGTCCCTGATTTACTCTTGGAGCAAAGATGTGTTGAGATGGTCTAGTATGTGGAAGGGAGAAGACGGGGAAACAGCCAGGAATGACTCCAGCCCCCATATCCCATTTCATGCACTGCCAGGAGCTTCCCATATTCACTTAGGGAGAGAGGAAGGAAGGTTTTTCTTTATTCCTTATAATCTTACTCCCAACAAAACACGTCAAGGCATAAAGCCTAGCTATTCAGTCATCTTTAGGGAGCATGGCAAAGGGCCTTTCCTTTTTCTCAAACAAAAAGGGCTATAGACCCCAGGTTTTCCCTAAGGGAGGAAGAAAAAGCTTAGGGAAAGCAGACAGCAGGAGAGAAGTCAGAAGGATCCAAAGTCTCATAGAAAGGCACTGGGGTTGGCTCGAGGATCCTTCTGATTCCGAAATCTCATTGCTAGCCAAACACCAAGGATCTGTAGAAGCAAAGGGAAAGA